GCATTTACAGTTTTACACTTGCCAGAAGGTGGATGTGTACAGCTACACAAGCCTGAGTCAAAACTCTACAAAACTGTTTTAGCAGATCAAGCATCTCTCTTGCCTAATATGCTTAACACATCATGTATCCTCTATCCTTAGTGCTTGCCACTGTAGATCACCTTCAAGAGGTATCTCATTCCTGGAAAATGTTTGTGTCATAATATCAAAGTGCAAAATTGTTAAATGATTCAAACACACCCAAAATCTGAAAGAATTGTCCAAATTAGAGATAAAAAAAACTAAGAAAGGTAGTACCCAGCTGGGAATATGTCAGTACCTAGTGGTCAGAACGTGCATGTAACTGATCTCTTCCTGTGTGTCATTTTCTCTGATGTCTCCAGGTGACAGGAGTGGTAGAGGACAGAGAGGGCACAGCCCATTACATCCTGTCAGGAACCTGGGATGACCGGATGGAGAGTGCCAAAATAGTGGACAGCAGCCAAGGATGTGGAGGTTCTGAAGGCAAACAAAAGACGGTTTATCAGACTCTTCAGCCCAAACTCTTGTGGAAGAAATATCCTCTCCCGTATGTTTATTTTATCTATAACATTTCTACCACATCTTGATGATTGAAAGTGGCATTTCAACTTGCCCCTCCCCTTTGTGATCTACCCTCTCCTGTTTCTCTCTTCCCTCTATCTGACCTTTTGCCTCTTCTATCTTTCACTTTCCAGAGATAATGCAGAGAACATGCACTTTTTCTCCTCCCTGGCTTTGACTCTGAATGAACCAGAAGAGGGTGTTGCGCCCACCGACAGTCGTCTGCGGCCAGACCAGCGGCTAATGGAGGCAGGTCTGTGGGATGAAGCAAACGGCCAGAAGCAGCGACTGGAGGAACATCAGAGGCTGGAGAGGAAAAGAAAGGAGGCGCAAGCAAATCAGGCTTTGGAGGAGGGTGAGGACAAGGAAACCAACATGAACAAGAAAGATGATAGAACATAGCACATACATAGTTTTCACATTACTCACACTAATAGTAATACAGATTATGGGTTCGTGAATCTAGATACAGAATATTGTGTGTGGAGTTTGTGTGTCTGTCCATGGGCAACAGCAAAAACTACACTTCCAAATGTTCCAAATGTTATAGTATAACATACTATTTGAAACAAAACCAGAGGCTGTCGATCTCCATGCTTCATTTTGTTCCTGTATTCTTCAAAAAGTGGAACATACACAATATTAAATCGTCTTTTTCCAGACAGAGTTCTGTTACATTCCTTATGAAGGGTGCAATATTTAGAGAGCATGGAGAAAGTATAACTTTGTGATATTCTGGAAAATAGTCCATATTCAAGCAGTTGTCTTAAGAAACGTGATTCTGTGCCAGTAGGTCAAGATATCGAGGGTTATCAGCCACTGTGGTTTGAGAAGAGGACAGATGATACAACAGGAGAAAGCACTTACGTCTACAGGGGCGGCTACTGGGAAGCCAAAGACAGACAGGACTGGAGCCAATCCCCCGAGATCTTCTAAGACAAACTTTCCTCCGACATCATGGCATCAGGCAGGCTGAGTGGCTCCTCCTTATGTAAGGATACTCTGTGAGTTATGCACAGTTGTTTGTTTGAGTGTGGATATGTGTGTGTGTGTGTGTGTGTGTGTGTGTGTGTGTGTGTGTGTGTGTGTGTGTGGTGGTTGTGTGTGTGTGTGTGTGTGTGTGTGTGTGTGTGTGTGCGTGCGTGCATGTGTGCGTGCGTGTGTGAATGGGCCAGCAAGTGGAAGTAGCCCTCACTTCCAGAATTTTAAGCACAAATCAAGCTCCTGCTTCCAGTTACTAATCTACTCACTTCTGTTCTATTATCGCTTGTGTTTTCAGAATGCATGGCCTCAGTCTGTGTGTATGCTTCAGCAGGGAACTAATTTATCAGAGAACATATAGTTCATATGTGCGTGTATGTGTGTGGGGGGCTAAATTATTGAGATATGCTTGACAGAGAAATTACTTCTGCAGCAAAACACTTCTTTCAGCAGGTGTGTGTGAGGCACCTGGGGGCAAGGAGTGCCGCGAATGATTTGGTATAAGCACTCAATGTCTTGTTCTCCTCAAAGCTGGAACAACACGCTGCTCATGGAGGGCTCTGACAGAGACAACTGGCTTTGAAAGACCTGTAGCAGGATAAAGCATTCCTCTGCGCTAAAAGGTTTTTTCACTGCTGAACTTCATATCCTCCCTGATTCTGGGCAATTTTGACTATTCTATTTCTTAGAATTACACAAACTGCATCTTGAAGGATTTATAGTTATTGTCCACTCTAACAGGCCTCTAAAGAGCAGCTATTCAGTCATGGAAACCAAAGTAGATGTCTTTCTCTTTGGATGGACAACTGTCTGAAAACACCATGCTGTTTTATAAGTCACTCCTGCACATGATCTTAAAATTGTGTTTTGTGGTTGCATTAAAGGGACACACATTAAAGCCAATTTACTAGTAATGAAGAGTTCCACACAGCCTATGAAAATAGTTGTATAATATCTTTACTGGTCCTGGAGAATTTTGTTGAGTCTGAGAAAATCACAGTACCAAAGCGACATCACTTGAGTAATCTCAGCTTGGACATCATGTGTTACATACTGGGAGTGTGAAATTTGAAATTTTACCAGGCTGGGTGGGTCAAGGTAAAGACACCTTTTGAGTTGCATTATGGGAAATGTAGGATCCAGAATTTTTGGAGCTTGATGCATATTAAGGACTAAAAGTTAGGATGTTTAAATTAGTCTTTATTGAGTCTCTAAACTTTATGGAAGTGCAACAGTAAACCTACCACTTCAAACAGCTTGAGACTCAACCACTGAAGAATAAATCTGCCAAGTTTGGAGGATTTTCTTCAGCAAGAGATTACATTGGTGCTTGATGGTAATTTTAGCCTTAATTATGTAATGAAGTAGTAAGCCCCTAGTAACCACTGCATCCTAACTCTGAGATTCTGTACAGATTATAGCAATCTGTGAGAGTATTTTTTTTTCTTTGGAGCGCACTTACGTGTATACTTCAGGGTACTTCAGTTTTATTGTATTTTACTCAGAAAGAATATCAGGGTTTAGCATCTTGGTAAGTAGCAACAAACTTGTCCCCCCTAGTTAAAACAAGTAGAACTGGTGACCGCTATGAATGGTTCCTATCTTTACAATTGTTTATTATTGAGACGTGTCAGCAATAACACAACTGCACAGTCACTTGAGAATAAAATAATTCAAGATCAGAAAGGTGTTTTATGCAGCACAAAAATTATGTTTTGGCAACAGTATCCCATTAGCTGAATCATGGTCATATGAAGAAATCTGATTTATACACATCAGTCCAGAGCCAGAAAACAATCAAGGAAAAGCTTAGCAATACACTTGCTAAGGTTTTTTTGTGCAAGTAAGCACGGATGTACATAAGTAGTAAATATACATTCTCTTAATAAACAATGATAAACTGCTTATTTATAGTTTTCAGCTTCCTGTGTATTTTAATAGAGCATGATGCACATGTACGACTGCCTGATTGGTTTTGGCCTGTATATAGCAAGAATATAATAGAAATAGAATCACCTCATTTACAATCACTGTAATGAAATATTGTTTCACATTACTTGAACATTCATATTCTGGTCACTACTTAAACTCTATTTGTGTATACATAATCTTAAATGGAGTCAAGATTGTATACCAGTTAATGTGATGTTGGGGAATTGAAATTATCAATACAAGTTTATAAGACACATTGTATAATATTAATGATGCAAATAAGGTGTTGTTCAAATAAAGCACAATGTTATGTTTACCTGCAGGTAATGATACATGCTACATAAACTCAAAGATTTCCATGGGAACATATAGCTATGCATGGTTTTAGAGTGCTTAAGCACTTCTGTAGTGAGAAGCCTCTTCACCTAGCTAATTGTTTGTGGGCTCTTGCTGAAACATGATGTGAACTCACCTTTTGTGCCCAATGGCCTCGGAAATTTTACATTTTTGAGCTCAAATAAAAACATAAAGCTGTCACTGTGCTGTTGTTTACTGTCAAATCAATGTTGTTCAAATCTTTCAACTCACAAGACACGACACAGAAGACATCCATAAACAGTGTCTGTCATGATGCCTTGAGGCCAACAATATATATCTGCAGTGAGGTTGTCAGAAGTGCAGAATAACAGACCAGTAGGCACCAGTAACTTCTCATCTTACAATAAATTACAGGCTTGGTAACTCACTAGACTTTCCATCTAGACTTTCCATAAACTTTAAATCATGATTGTACTTCAGTTAGATCTACCATGTTCAACAGGGTTTTAGAATTTAATGCCAACTCATCCACTATATATTATAGTTAGATTCTAAATAATATGTAGTTATTACATTACATTACAAGTGTACAGGTCCTCTCCTGATGTTTCAAAGAAAGATCGAGTAGTTGTTTAATTAATGACTTTTCCTCAATGGTGCATTTAAGCAAAGAAAAAGTAATACCTCTGTATTTCCTCATGTACTTGTGATCATACTCTCATGCTCTCTGCCCTCCATACATAAACCACACTAACTGTGTAGGCTATATTTTAATTAAGTTCACCTTTAAATAGCGTGATCAACAAGCCGCATCTCCTCTTTCTGAAAAAAGGGGAACTTGAGAATTGAGTTGAGTCTTGTTTACTGTCGCTTTATTGTACTGTTATTTAAGTGGAACAAAGAGCCTATGCATCTTTTATAGGTAATCGTTTGCATTTTGCAAATTAAACCCTGCCGTTGCTACGTCATATGAAGACAGGAACCCAATTCACGATTGTCACCGGATGATGGTTCGTGCAGATGTTAAACTCCAGGCTCCAACACTTCAAATCCTGCACAGAAGAGAGGTTGCATTCATTTTACACTATGTACTGAATAAGCCGCCCATAAATGAGTGGCACTGCCCTTTAAATGGATCAGCCAATGACACTGAAGTGCGTCTGCTCAGGCTTGGCTGACAGCTCGGTGACCGACCGAGGGAGATTTGGGGGATGCTGCCAGTGTTGTCAAGGTACTCGTCGAAGAACAAGGTAAAAATGATGAAGCTCAATTGATGATAAAACGTGATTGACCTGACCGCAGTTGTGGTGTCGGTAACGTCTACGCAACGAATGAAAGCTAACGCCGCGTCGAGCCGGGAGTAACGGCTGTTGCCTTGTTTTGTAGCTAACAACCTAACGCTAGCTAACAGGCGCTGCCTCCTCGCAGTTACAGAGTGCTGCTACCAGCTAACGTTAGCATGAAACCGAGAGAGCAGAAAGACAGTCAGCCACCTAGTGTCAAGTGACAGCTCAGTCTACAGCAGAGGTCACCTAAATTAACCCACCTTACCTTTTATTTTGTCAAACAAAAGAACTGTCCTGCTCTTGTGTTAACAGTTACTGAACCGTCCGATTGTCAAAAAGTGTCGTTAATTAATTCAAACCTTCTCAACACCATGAATGAACAGCTGTCTAACCAGCTAGCTATACGGTGTTTGGTGCAACAAGCGACTTCGTGTTTTCGAACAACACAGTGAGTTGTCAGGATTTCCTTCTGTCCCAGTGCAGGGAATGGAATCACAAGATCTCCTCTGGCAATTAGGTAAGCTGCTATTTAAAGATAGTGTGGAGGGGAAAAAACATAACTCATGTGAACTGCTTCTGCGCTGTCTGGGATTTATAATATTAAGTGACAGGCACATGCAGTACCTGAGTTTCCCCATGGTGTTTACTACACTGCTGACTTTTTGGTGCATCACACGGAGTCGTCACCGTCAGTCCATTGCTGCATATCAGGATAATAACCAATCCCCTCAGTCCCCGTCGTGGAAAAGGCGCGTGCTGTTTTCCAGCCCGCCCTGAACTGCTCTCCTCTCCTCTGTCGGTCTTCCTGGTCCTGGATATGTCATGTTTGCCTGCGCAGAGCACGTTACACAACCAGCCAGTCATGCAAAATAGAAACACGTGTCTATAGGCGGTGCTGAAAATTGCAGGTTTACTGAACAACAAAGACCGGCGAACACCACGGAGAAGAAAAACAGCGGTGTCGTATGTTACTCTCGCGATTTTCAGCCCAAAACTCGCCGGCTTTGTCATGAATTTCATTTGGAGGTGAGAGGTACGGATTCAACATGTGTTTTCCTTTCAGAGAGGACAATGATACGAACATGATCAACGCCGATGGCTTCTCAAAATGCGAGGCGACTCTCCAAGAGAGAGGCAGGAGGAGGCCACCCGCAGAGATGCTCCATCTGCTGTCAGCTGTCATTGTTTGGCTGGTGACGGGCACCACCATATCCAGCCTCAACAAATGGATATTTGCCGTTTACAACTTCAGGTACCCTCTGCTACTATCAGCACTGCACATGCTGACCGCTATAGTGGTGGACTATGGGCTGATCAAACTGCGGGTGATCCGCCACAGAGGGGCTGGAGAGCAGGACCTGACACCTAGCGCAAAATATAAGGTGTTCCTGTTGAGTCTGACATTTTGTGCCAGCATCGCCTTTGGGAACATGGGTCTGAACTATGTCCAGCTGTCATTTGCACAAATGATCTATACCACCACCCCACTCTTTACTCTGGCCATTTCCACGCTTATCCTGGGCAAGCAGCATCACATCCTCAAATACACAGCCATGATGCCCATCTGTCTGGGAGCCTCCTTCAGCATCATGGGAGAGGTCCAGTTCGATCAGACCGGCTGCTTCTTTGTGTTTGCTGCAACCATGTTGAGGGGTGTAAAGTCCATTCAGCAGAGTGAGTACCTGTTTCCTGCCCTGTTTGTCACCTCAGACTGTTGAAATTGTCTCTCGGTTTTGTTGTATTTTTGTTGTATCTATAGAAAGTAACCTCTGAGTTAATTACCCTTATTTTTGAACTGGAAATCTCCTCTCTTGCCACTGACATCAGAGGATATTTTAGTGTTTTTCCCTGGGACACCGCAGCAGTCTGTGGTCCTGGAACTTTTTAATGATTTGGTGAGTCACTCCTCAGTCCAGTAACACACCCACATATAAAGGTGGAATGTCACAGTGGCATATTTTTTGGTTTCCTAGGAAACGCAATACAAACATCAATATGTATGTATGAGTTAGAACAGGCAGGGTTACTTTGCATTGTGAGGACATGCTGATCTATTGTGTCTGAATGTTTATCTTGGCTTCTGATGGACTGAAAGCTTCAGAAAGGCAGAACCTTTTGGAAGTAACATATGCAATTTTCCGCCATCCTCTTGTAAGCCAGTGGATTCAATGAAGTATTTTTAAAGTTTCTCTGAATTGCCGCCCATTTTTCTGCAAACTGCATTCAAGAAACTCCAAAACAAATTGAGACGCCCAGAGATGCTGTTGAGTACCGGGTCAGAGTGGCTACAAAGGTCAGAGGAAGTTTCCTCTAATGCAGCATATCTAAAAAAAACATGATGCACCCTAAAAACCTAACAGTTTAAAATTCAATGATTCATTTTTAGTCATTTAACAATTATTGTTTTTATTGTTCGTTTTATTAGATGTACCCAGGATTCCCTGGAGAGCAGTATTGTTACTGAGAAGTTTATCCCAATGAAATATAGTACACAAAAGACTCTCAATACCAAAAATCATTTTGAGATTGATCATATGGCTACAGTTTAAGTGAACATAGAACACAGACAGATTCATTTCTTGAACTGATTACATGGGCTGAGTAGTGCCTTCATTACATTTATCCAATGTACTTATTTATCCAATGTTCTTTGCTTTCAGGGAAGCTTTTGTTGCAGAAATAGCTTTAAAGTTGGTGTCTGTGTGCAGTGGATTACGCTCTCTAACGTCATTAGTCTCCATAACATTGTAGTTGTCAGAAGAAAAGGAAAGTCATGTGTTCATGAAATTTTTTTGAGGACCTGTCTTACATTTGTTACATAACACAAAAGCAGATATTCAGTTTTGCTCAGAGGAATGTAATGCTACATACTTTGTACCTCTTGGTGCAGAGGGCCACCTCATGGTTAAAGGGGCAAGCTTGTGACTAGAAGGTTATCATTTGTAATACCTATATACACCAGTATAGCTGCTAAGTATAAATAAGTTAAATAAGTGTACAGGTAGGAAAGGTTATGGTTATGGCCTGCTTTTGCAAATTTGAGCAGAGTTTGAAAACAAGGCCCAGCAGAAGGAAATTGCTGTACATTACTTTTATTGCTAATCATGACTAAAAATGTATGTCCATCCCAAGGATCCAAACTAGCTGGACGATGTTGTCTCAAGTTTCAACAAGCTATTTTCATCCTCTCTCTCACCTGTTGTTGTTGTTGTTGTTGTTGTTGTAACAGTTTCCCTAATGAGTTTACTTTTCTCTGACACCCTTTGGCTGTGCATGTCTTTTTGTTTAAAGGCCCAAAGTCAAAGCCTCAGTCCTCACAGATTTGATACTGTATGCCAATGAAATGTTTAAAGTGTGCTTAACTTTTACTAAAACAGTCATTAGTTTAATGGATGTTTTGCTTCCGACATGTCCAGGCATTAAGGCTTATTACAAAATCTTTCAAAGAGGTGTTTTGCATAATTCCCTCCAGTTTTCCTGCTATCAACCCACTTGAAGCTTACTGTCATCTTTTGAACAACAGTTAATGAGTGAGCAGAAGAGAAAACAGGAACCTTCTGTTATGTCACCTAAACAACCAACTAAAATACACCATGTTTCTTAAAATATTTCAGGTCAGAAATTTAGCTGCTGAGTCAGATTCATGATGTATTATGAGAGTGTTTCGTGACAGATTTTTGCACTTAAGTAGGAAATGCTGTAGCTACAGGACAAATGAGGTTTGTTTAGGTTATCTCTCAAGTCTTTGCCAGTACAATCATGTTTGTAACTGCTATCTACATGTCTTTGTTTAATTAGGCATCTTACTTCAGGAGGAGAAAATCAACTCGGTGTTCCTGCTCTACCTGATGTCCATTCCTAGCTTCTGCATCTTGACTGTCGCAGCTTTGGCCTTAGAAAACTGGGCTATGCTGGAGTCACCGCTGCATTACGACCGCCACCTGTGGGTCTTCATCTTGCTCAGCTGTCTGGGGTCAGTCATGTACAACTTGGCCAGCTGCTGCGTCATCACGCTCACCTCGGCCGTTACTCTGCATATCCTCGGCAACCTGAGCGTGGTGGGAAACCTGCTTTTGTCTCAGCTGCTTTTCGGCAGTGAACTCTCCGCCCTCAGCTGTGCGGGTGCGGTGTTGACATTGTCTGGCATGCTCATCTATCAGAACTCAGAGTTCATTGTCAGCTTCCTGGACGCACGCAGGGCCAAAGCTAAAGGGTCTGGACAGGTGGATTTTGACACTCCATGTGGAGAGGATTCGGACAAAACTTGTGCATCTGAACCGCCATATCATCAGCAGAGAACAGATGGCAAACAGGAAGATAAGATAGACTGAAATATAAGGATGAAGGAGAGAATAAATGTAGATGGGAAAAAATGCTAAAAATCCTGGCTGTAGTTCTGTCTGTGTGTCATTAAGTGGTCAAGAGCAGCAGAGGGGGAGTGACCTTATAAGACCATGGTCACTGACGATGTGACAAATCTTTTTTTTTTGTTTGTTTTATTTTTTTTTTTAACTTCCTCACTGTGCCAATTTATTTCTCCTCTGGTCACACAGAACTGAGGACTTCAGAGAGGAAAAGGTTGCCTTTACTTATCATGGTGATGGTTAAATTCTCTCCTTCGTCTGTAAATCACTCATACATAGCCTATACCGTTATATGCATGCATGAGCACACTAAACTGTTTGATACCTCATGAGGTATTTACACTGTCACTCGTACTACTCCACTGTGAAAATGTTCTCATTTGTAGAGGGCTCTAATCGATGTTTTGGGTGGCTGTCGTGGACTTTGTCGGCTGCAGAGGGGGGGCGAGGCTTGGAGAGCACTCTGCTTCAAATTTGAAAGAGCACTATTTGTATTAAAATTATATGGTACTGTTACCTGACATTCACCTGGCCCTGTCATGGTAAGGTACTGGATTTTTGGCAGCTTATTTTTTCTTTGTTGGTATGTAAAGCAGGAAGCTTGTTAAGTAAGGACACTGCAGTTGTTGTTATTGTTGTAGGGCTGAAACCTTTGTTAAGAGGCAAAAGTTACAATGATGGACAAAGCCAACATTTCTGTGCAATGAGACGCCTCTTTTCCTCTACTGAAGCACATTTTAATAAGAGGCCTGAGCTCTTTGTTTCATCCTCCCCTATGAACCTCGATGTGGCTTCCCACTTAAGGCCTAGATTTTGTTCTCATACCAGCTTGAGAGGATGGTCTCTCTGTAGAATTAGTCCAATTATTTCCATCTTTTACAGCAGTACGCTCACTGCAGCGTACCTCGATAATTAGGTTCACAAGTTCTCTAAGGAGTGTCACTCAGCTTTAGCTGTCTTTTCCCTATGGAAGATGAGCAAAATGAAGACTGAGTTGTCCTTTAAGGTTACATCTTAAATCCCAACCAATGTGGTTTTCATTTTTCCCTTTTTGTGGGTGAGATTTTTATAAAGTTGGTTAAGCAGCACATCTTATAAAAAACGGACCTCTGCTGGACAGTGTTATGTTTTCTCTCAGTATTTGTCAGTATGCTTTTACTTTGTGACGAAACATATTTTATCCCCCTTTTAATATTTATGTGGAAGAGAATATTTATTTTTGAAAGGCAATAGCAATCATTGGCTTTGTAATGCTGTAGACTTTGGTCCTCAAGTGTCTTGCACATGCATACATGTAATATTCAACAGCACTAGTCTTTCCTGTACCTCTCTCTGTAGAGAAGAGTCAGGCATGCTAAGCAGAGGACTGCATGTCACTGCTCCTTCTGAAAGCATCTTAAATGATTGGAGATGTCTGTTACACTTCCTACAATGTTTACTTTGAAAGCTCTTTTAGTGACACCGTGTTGTAATACTGGTTCTGTCAGACCAGATATGATCAATGCTCACTTGCAGTTTGACCTCACACGACACAACAACAAAGCCATGCAACAAGATTTTTTTTTTTTTATAACACCTGTCATATCTTCTGCACATTTTGCCATAAGAATAACTGCAAGCAGAACTGTATATTTAAAGATTTTATTTGATATGTCACAGATGGGTGCCATTTAGAAAATTACATTGTCCTGAGCATCATTTCATATTGAGAATTAATATATGAACCTAAAACTTTTTGTAAATCCCCAGTTAGTTGAAACTAGTGCAAGAAAGATATGAAATGGTTTTATTTTGCTATTTGATAATTTGCTTTGTTGGTTTAATATTTCAAACTGACCTCAGTTACATGTTTAAAGAATATGTACAGCAGATCATTTCACTGGTTTTTCATTATGGAATACCTCAACTGTTAAATAGAGCTTATAATGCCCCTGTGTTCATTGATAATTAATTATTGGACTGAGATCAAGCAGCTTTTCAAAAACCACACTAAAACTGCTGCATGCGAATGACTGATTTTATCGTTTCAGTTGAGTAATCTGTAACAGATGTCAACATATTTTAGGATACAAATGTTATGGTCATAACGGCCTCAGCGGGTCATTTTTTAGTTTTATACTCGCATAAACTCTCACAGTCTTGTGTCAGTTTGGCAGGTTGGGCTGCTTGTTCTCATGGATATCATGTTGAGTATATTATGGGTGTGGCAAAGCAACAGTTGCACTGACAAAGGTACGAAGACGCTGCCTTCAAGCCTACGGTTCCTGTGTACATACTGGTTTTGATTGTTTGCAAAGCTAGTTGGATGTAAATAGTTATTTTATTATATTTATGTATTTTATAGTCATATACGGCTGGTTTAAACTATACTGGTTTAAGAATGAAACATTTGCCTCATGCCTTATTGGGACACACTGTAGAAGCGAAAGAAGTGATTTGGTTTGTCATTTTTGTCAAATTGTTTGGTAATACTTTGAATGCCAACAGCAGCCATATAGGTGCTTCTGTTTAGAGGCAAAGGTATGGACAATTCATATATACATAATCTGCAATTGCTTAAAAAGAATTAAACTGACTGGTACAATAAAAAATAACAAAACCAACCACCTCAGTGCTGAGTCAGAGTTGTTGCCTACATCAAATTATATAACTCCACTGTCACACCTCCAGCATATTTGAAGTCAATTCAACATTGAAGCTAGTGTCCTATACAAAATTTGGTTTAAGTTGTTTATGTTTTATGTTTTTTATTCAAGGTTTCACATTTGTAAATGTTCTATTTACATGTTCTGTTCACACATGAAACCCCTCACTGATCTCACTAAATTTACTATACACGGTGAAGGTGAAATTGAAATGAATTACAATAATTTTCATTTTCAATGAATTTGGCCACTATTTTCTCAATTAATTGATTAATTGTTTAGTCCATAAGATGTCTAAAAATAATGTGAAAGCACCTGAGGTAAAATCTTTAAAAAGCAGTTTTGTCGGACCAACAGTGCAAAGCTCCTCACTCGTCACATAGAGAAGATGGATCCAATAAATGTTTGGCATTTTTACTTCATAGCATTAAATAACAGGAACGGGGATAGGCCTTGTTTTCACATGTCGCAGCAGGAAAAGTTCAGGTGTAAATAATAAAATGAATGATGGCTGGATTTCATTTAACTGTTTCAGTGTCGGGGTCCTGGTGTTGTTCATGCTGGTTCGCTGTAACACTGTCATGGCTTCATGGAACACCTGTGCACCTGTGTTTCTCTTACAATGACAAGTCAAAATATCTGCTGTGAAAAAAGGGTTTACCAAACCTCAGCATGTTGTAATACACTGAATTTAGCAGTTATGAGTGTTCACCACTAGGTGGTGTGATTTCTCTGCTTTCTGATTAATTAGAGCCCTCTCTAAATCTTCTTAAACTTAGAATTAAATACAAAATAATCAGTGCTGGAGTTGAAAGTTCATTGTGTGTTTTCTGCCACTTGTGTGTGTGTGTGTGTGCGTATGCGTGTGCGTGTGCGTGAGTGTGTGAGTGTGTGTGTGTGTGAGTGTGTGAGTGTGTTTGTGTGTGTGTGTGTGTGTGTGTGTGTGCTTATGCATGCATGCATATGTGTGCTCTGTACTCCCTTTTAGAGATTCCTCTGCCTCTGTAATAAGGCTTTACTGGTCAGCAGTGCATTTGCCTGAATAAGGCAGTGCTCCTCACTTTTTTGTCCTTGTTAACCCCTTCAGAGTTTAGCTGAGGGAAGGCCTCATAAAGTTCACATGACATCATCTATTCAAGATCCAGCAGTGACAAGAGGAGGCGAGACTGGGAGACATAAAGACTGATGGACGAGGACCTGATGGGTTTCTCCCTCCTTCTCCTCCTCCTCCTCCTCCTCTACATCCTCCTCCTTCTTCCCATCTTGGGTGGTTCTTGTAAGCCACCTCCACTCGCTCTCCAAACGTGAATCCTTATGAAGCGCTGCGGTGAGAGGTGTGATGTCAGGCCTGAGCTCTCACAGCTCTGCAGACAAGTCTAAAGGGGGTGTTGAGGAGATCAGAGGAGAGCGCTGAAAACTTCTGAGAAGCCCAAAGACCGCCACCAAACATTCAAGATTACATCCCATAAACAGGTGAGTGACACTGCACCTCAACAGCCAAAAAACTGAAAAAACCTGATCTGAATTTCTATTTTTCCCATGTTATTACTTTATTTTTCAGGTCTTGTGTCGTGAAGCTTTACCTCAGCTCATTTTTCCATTTGTCTGAGCACATAGTTTCACACTGTTATCAGATTCTTGTCGTAATGGTCTCGTTCCACTATATTACTATATTTGTACGTGCTTTTGCCCCTTCTGTGCTGCACTCAACCAGTTGCTGAGATACACTGAGGGGTACTCCAGTAAGACAAACACATGGCTTTGCATGGCTGCTCAGTTTGTGGCTGTTAAGACTCACACAAATGTTTATATTTGAATTACTCAGCAGACTGTAAGTAGAACAGACGCGGTCTTTATGCTGTGTGTGTGAGGTTTCCACTTCATATAGTGTAAATAATAGGTCATTATCTGGTCTGCTTATAAAATTCAGACATATCCAGTCTTGATAAATATTTGATTATTGAATCCAAGTTGTTGCAAACCTGTCAGAAAGGTGAGGGTCGCTTTTTCAAATATCCTCTCACTTCTCAGTCTCATGTGTTTATGCATGTTTACTTTCCGTCTTTCAGAGCTGCATTGTCACGCAACCCAACCAGATATACTTCTCAGACATGGAGTCAAAAACCGATGGTGGAGCAGCTTCGTTGACCAGCGAAGAACTGGCTGCTATTCAGGATGAAGAGGTTCTCAACAAAATGGTGAGCCAATGGCTGATTTCTCACCATCATGGAAGGGAAATTTGGTCGTCAGCTGACCAAAATATCATCATCATCTATAATGCAAACAGTGCACAAAGAGACTGGCTTCACTTCCCTTGTTTACATGTGAATGGGATGGGAATTTTTTTTTTTTTTTCTAAAATAATAAAATAATAATAAGAAATGCTATGCTGAGTTTTGTGTGTCTTTGTAACCTCCATGTTTTTTAACCTGTTGGTTTTTAGCTGGACGATGCAACAGATTTCGAAGAGAGACGAACGATTCGTGTTGCATTGAGGGACCTGCTCAAGAAAAAGAGAGGTAAAAGCTGAAGAAACCATCTACTCTGATGCAAGAATTAGCCATAAGTGATATCTGCATTACTCCTCTGATGCTTTGCTTGCTTTCTAAACTCTCCACCGTCCGTCATCAGATAAACGGGAGCAGGACCGAGGGGCGAGGCAGCAGGACTTGAGGCAGCAGGTTCTGAGCAAAGGAGGGACAACAGGCGCAGCTGTCAGCGTAGGCAGAGCTTCCATGAACCAGCCATCAACAAACAGTAAGTCTGATTCACAGTGTAGAGCCCATGAATATATTCTACTATGTAAACTTCTTTCTGATAACAGTTTAAATCTCTGCATCTTTTTAGGAACAACAGGCCAGACCTCTCCATCAGCCTCCACTCCCTTCAACAGGTCAGCAGGCAGGTGAGTCACATTTCAGCACAGTGGAACATTTTGTTTGGTCAATTTTTGCATGTTTGGCCACATTAACTATAGAAAAGAAGATTAAAAAAACAGATCTGAACAGATAAAGCATTCATTTAATACAAGGCACTCCCACAAACAAGCTTCCTTTTGTGTAAAATGATGTTTGGCAATTTTTGAAATTTAAGTTGTGAAGGGGAGAAAAATGTTACATTTATCTATTTATTCATTCACTTATTCATTCATTCATTCATTCATTCATTCATACTCACGGCATTTTTATCCCCCATAAAGTTGTATCCACAGACACCAAATGTTTACCCAGTGTTTCTGGACTATGTTATTGTAGGAAATTCCATTTATATTCATGTAGTTTGTCTACTCATGCGTGTCAGCAACAGTGTCTTCTAATGGGAGCCCAACTTCTGCAAAGTAAAAGTTTTTTGTTTATCCTCTCTAGTAATCTCATCCACCCAAGGGAAAAAAAAAACTTCTGTCGTGCATAACATTTGCCAAGTTAAAGGATGATGTAAGCCATACTTTCTGAATATCCAGTGCGTATCTTTGTTTCCTCTCCTCAGCCAGGCCAGTCTCGCTGCAGCCTCAGCCCAGGAATGTCCTGCTGCAGTACCCAACGCTAAAAATGTCAAACAAATGCTTCTGGATTGGTGCAGGGCCAAAACGGAGCCATATGAGGTAAACATGCCCTGACTGTCTGTGAATTATTGCCCTGTGGAGCTTTACATAGATCTGAGCCATATGTCTCATTCTTTGCCACCATTTCTTCTAAACTGTCCTTTGGTATGAAACAGGGGGTGGACATCCGGAACTTCTCCTCAAGTTGGAAAGATGGCATAGCCTTCTGTGCCTTGGTGCACCGGTTCTTCCCTGATGCGTTCGAGTACTCCATCCTCAACCCCAACTCGCACAGGGAAAACTTCCAGCTGGCTTTCAGCACTGCAGAGTGAGCTCTCACTCCTTATATGACGATGCACATGTATCTTGTCTGGAATAAGCTGCGGCAGTAAATTGCACATGAGAGCACAGCGACTTTACAATTTTGACCACATACTTTCTATGTCAGTACTTGTCTCAAGTGGTTTTTCAGTGACGCTGACTCTTTGTCTGCAGGAGGATGGCAGGCTGCCCCCCTCTGCTGGACGCTGATGATTTAGTCCGGATGAAAGAGCCCGACTGGAAGTGTGTGTACACATACATCCAGGAGTTCTACCGCTGCCTGGTGGAGAAAGGCCTGGTCAAAACCAAAAAGCGGCTGTAGACTTTTGAGAAGTCAGACAGTACCTTATGTGTGATTTCAATTTGTACAATCAAAACACACATTAACATAAGATGACACAATAATATGCACCTTTTTTTTCGACTAAATATTTACATTTTCTCTGTTAACCTACATTTGCCATGAGGGAAAAGGTTAAGTATTTGATCTGTCCAGCTGATGCATTATGTGAATGTGAACGTGAATGTGAATGTGAATGTGAATGCACAGTGTCTAATGTGTAGTATTTGTACTGGTTTACGTGTTAGCTGGGACTTATGGGTGTCTATGTGCTCTCAGTGGACAGCTGGCGCTTAGGATCAGTGCATTCCACTGAGATTACACATCTGCATTAATCCCAGTCAGAGCCGTAGAGAATCTGGGAACAAAATGTATGATGATGCTGTTGAGGGCCCGACTGTGTGAGTATTAAAGTCACATTTAAATAATAATAATAATAAATATCCATATAATTGATGGTTTAATTTAATGTTAAAGTAGATATAAAAACATTTTATGTTTATGGTTAAATCAGAAAGAGACCATGGAGGTTACAAATTGCATTGTATCATATTCAGCAACTTCTCATGTTTTATTTGAAACTATTTTACCAAGACTTTGTTATGAAAGATCTAGATTTGTGCTGAATGCATGTGGGATGTATAAAGTTAAAGGGGCACTGCACTGATTTTACATTAAGTTTACTCGTCTTGAGGAATAGTACCTATCCTGTGAAAACATTCAAATGCATTTTTGTTATTCCAGTTGCACACACTGTATAATTTCTGTTTCTCTGTGGGTACTTTTCTTAAGTGTTGGAAAGTGACCCTGGTGATGTCATCAGCGGGTTACAGAAAGCTTGTGTTGCAACCCTTCTTTTGCTGGAGTGCTCCTGTAATACTAAGGCTTCATGAAATGACTGTAACTGCACCAGCTTCTCTAATAGACAGACACAATGTAACACAATACACTGAATAATTTATGTACCTTAAAAGGTAGTGTCAGAATGAAAGCTACTTTTCATAATAAATAATCACAAGTGGTACCAAAAAAAAACCTGTTGTGTGTATTTAGTGTGACCAAAACTAACTGAACACCGAATCAACATATGTTTGACACAGTCTCCACTCAAATGTAACTTAATAATTACAATCCATCCCAGCTGCTGTAAAGATATCACAGAGGGAACACATAGGTAGCCTTGCCAAAGTGAAATTTAATTATTGGCATGCTGATCAATTCTCCTTATCAGTGACGCACTAATGCCAGATTAATGCGTCACTGATGGGACAGATTTCTGGCCGGCTGCTCTCTGGCAGCAGATTTTTGTTTAGCCTCTCCTGCTCTACCCGCCCCCGCCCCCCCCAGGTGCTCACATGTTTTACCCAGAGTGCACAGAGAAAGAGAGAGAAAGAGAGAGAGAGCAAGAGACGCACCGTGGGCGCGCGTGATGGGTCGGTGTGCTGGAGGTGCAGGCGGTTCGCTGACCGAGAAGTGCAAATTTGCTCCGTCCAACTGTGCTGCGCTATAGACAGAGATAATAAGTATGATAAGGTAGCCTATAGCACAAACATCAACATGCAAGAGTCTGCACGCACCAAGCGCGACCGCCTCCTGCCCTGACAGCCCGGCGGAGCGGCGGTCTGCTGCACCGCGACGGAGACGTCCACTTGTCCACGGGTACCGACGAGTCGCAACTGTCCTGCAGGCTGGCTGGGTCGGTCTGTATCCGGACCACAAATCGATCCTGCTCTCGCCTGTGTGTGATCGTCCTGTCGCGTTGATTGGTGTACGAGACGTATAGGAGACTGATGCTTTTCCCCTCTGTGAATTTGTGAGATCACCTTTGCGGTTCACCTTGGAAATAGAAATTTAAAAAAAAACGCATGAAAGGTAAGACATGTTTTCACGAGATCTGTGAGACACTGCAGTCAATGCAGCTATGTGTTTCTGTTGATTCTGAATGTAAAATGATGCTTTGTGGTGTTGCTCATGAGTCCAGGCTTGTACCTCTGTGGATAACGGGGCTGTCATTCAGATTTGCAGGCTGATGGACTATGAAATGTGGAAAAGGCCTGTTTGTCCTAAGGTATTTAAGCTCTGAAAGTTGCATTTTCACTTTTAAAGTGGATATAATACAAACTTGAATGATCACCATTACACTCTGATACGCTCTGTTTTGCAGATTACTACTATGGTCACATGAATTTCTCAGATACAAAGAGACCCCAATTTGCATGTCATGAATACTTAAAAGAGGTGTTCAATTTCTGTGTGGGAGGGAACATAAACAAAATGGTGGGTGGCTCCTGTCCTCCTACCATGTCAGGCACCCTCCACCTTGTGGCCTTATGTATCTGTTGATATTGTGTGATCTGTTTCATTATCTGCAGCATCCAATGCATCCCTGCAGGCTGACCTGAGTTCCTGTTTTTTTAAGTGAGAGAATCAGATCAAATGGCTTTGTAACAGGCAGGGTCAGGGGGTAATTAACATTGCTGAGCAACAAGGGTGTAATCCAGGACGCATGTCCAAAGTTAGTTCCTCATCCCAGTTGCCGGCTCATGATAACATCATCAGTGATGCCTGCGGAGAATGATGTAGACAGGTGCTCAATATAATGTGATGCATTTCTCTCAGCTTCCACTCACTGCAGGCACATCCTTTGCTCTTGTGTACCTGTGTACCACGGAGCCACTATTAAATGTAGAGGTTTTGTGATCTAAGTCCAGACAGGTTGGAGACATGGTTATAAGCAAAGAATGCAAAAGTCACTTATGTCATTGATACACTCGCTGCAAGCTTCACTATCTTGTTTTTTTTTTTTTTTTTTTTTTTTATTCTCACACAGACAAGAATCAGGTCATGTTGTTTTATGATCAACCACATGCTGCACATTGCAGGTTGATGGATCGCATGCAGCAGAAACAAATCAGCCCTGACCCTTGTGGGCCCAAAGTGCAGCCTGGGCCCAAAGTGCAGCCTGGACCCTGCGCGTTGATTGGAAACAGTCCACGTTTACCCCCACAGCTTGCAATACAGGAGTCACCTCTCATCAGCCCGTCAGAGGTGCTCAAGAAACAGTCTGGATTGAGCCCCATCCAGGCTGCAGTCATACCTGTGAAAGTGACAGAGCAAATGCGGTCAGGGCAAGCAAAATCTCCAGCAGCACTGACAAGCATAAGCCGGCCAAGACCGACTGCTCTTGGAACTAAACCTGCTCCAAAGCCGACCAGAATCTCAGTGGACCCCTCCAAGGAAATAGATTTGATCCCAGTTTGCATCCCAGGACCTCAGAGTGCCAACATCCTGTCGCATTCCCCGACAGAGTCCTCCTTCCCTCTTCACAGTCCTCAGAGTCCCCACAGCCCTCAGTCTTACACCAGCCAGCCTTACCTGAGTCCCACTCCCAGCCTGCCCCAGCACAACCCCAACCTACCCATCAGCCTCAGCCCCAAACCAAGCCTCAGTCCTCAGTCACAGAGGACCCCCTCAACTGGGAGTTCAACACAGAGTCAAGTGCAGTCCGAGAAGCAAGGGGGAGAGAATAATGACTTCAGGTGAGGCAAATAATTACACCTTTATTAAAACATTCTCACGTAGTCTAGCTTTTTGTCACTTCCAGCTTTTGCCAGCTTTAAATGATTCTGTTCTTTACCACTGTGACTGTTGTTCCCTGTTATGTCTAATGCAGCTGCAGTAGCTGTCCTGCAGTCAGTGGCTGTAAGAAAGCTGATGTGTGCCAGACCATGTCACATGAATCAAAGCTGCAAATTTCACTAAGAGCTTTATGAACCTGACAGAGTGACACAGCCATATTTTGTTGGCAGCCTTCCCAGAGGCATGCCGTACTTCTGTTGTGTTCTTCCCCCATAAACAATGGCTGCTCGTAAATAAACTTTAAATTCATAGAACTGTGTTTATATGAAGGATGAAATATGCCGAAAGGTCTTCAGATGGCAGCAACCCCCGGCTGTCCTACTGTTACACTTACCAGACATATTTCCTATCACCTAGATTAGGGGTTAACTATAGTGATGATTTTTCTCGTTTTAGCCCATTAACAACAAATCGCATGTACTTTACATCCAAAGTGATAAGCATATAAACTCCGTCATTAGTTTTCTTTTATAACAGCATTAAATGCTTGTATTAAAAACATAGTCCATCACTGTAACGTATGAATTTGGAAACCTATCTTAGTATCTACAGCTTATCTACTGACAAAACAGTTTTCTTGTCATAGCAGAAATCACAAATCCAGATAGCAACCAGCTAAAATGCTAAGAGTTGTAGAGCTGAAAGAATTAGTTCATTTAATGAAATCAAACTTTATTTGTATAGCACCTTTCACACAGGTCAGTGCAATTCAGAGTGCTTTATAAATGACGACAAGCTGATCATAAGACAATACAACATGTCCACAATAAAACAATTTGAGACTAATGCACACAAGAAATAAAAATGATGAATATAACAACACCTTATTTTTCAAGCAAAAATGCCAAAAATTTGCTGGTTCCAGTTTCTTTGCTTTTCTTTATTTGACATGTTGAGTTTTAGGATGGAAATTGTGATGGACATTTTTCCCTATTTTCTTACTTTTTATAGACAAACAGTTAAACAATTAATGGAGCAGATGACAAGATTAATTACTACTAAAATAAATAAATAAATGAGAAAAAAAAAGCTGCAGCCTTAATGAGTTGTTTCTCTGATGAAGTAGTGTGTGTGTGTGGCTGGTAGTTAATTTTGAAGGACAATTAGATCCATCTTTTTTCTCTCCTTATACTCACCCAAGCACACACACACACACACACACACACACACACACAATACTGAGTCATCATCGAGGTACAAAGAGGTGCTTAATTGTGCTTATCTTTTTTCTATATACAGAAACACTGATGAAAGCTATTTCCCTGAGGATTACAGCACAGATTACGTCCTCTTTCACGCTGCAGTATATGGTACTTAAATCGAATGCAGCATTTCCACTGTTTCCATTCTTTTGCAGGGTGTATATTGTCACATGGAACGTGGGATCAGCTGTCCCCCCAGATGACATCACTTCTCTGTTTGGACCAAATGTGTCAGATGGGAGCGTTGACATGTTCATCATCGGGTAAGCAAGTATTTCTACCAGGCGCAGCGGTGCCAGGGAGACAGCCGGAGCACCCACTCACTCATCTGTGTTCATTTTCATCCATCCCCTCCTGTTACCCCTTACTGTGCTCTTTATTAATGTCTCATTTTCAATGTTTCTCTACTTTCCAGACTCCAGGAGGTCAACTCCATGATAAACAAGAGGCTGAAGGATGTTCTTTTTTCAGACCAGTGGAGTGAGCTTTGCATGGACACACTTAGCCCTTTTGGATATGTTTTGGTCAGTAGGACGTTAAACATGTTGTTTTACTCTCATCCTTTCTGTGTCATAAAAGATACAGTTCAGCTTATCAATTTATTATTTTTCATCCGTCCCATCTGTTTAGGTGGCGTCCCAGCGGATGCAAGGAGTGCTGCTGCTGGTTTTCTCTAAATTCTGCCACCTTCCATTCCTCAGAGGCGTGCAGACAGAGAGCACACGCACAGGACTTGGGGGATATTGGGTACGTGCTACGCATTGAAGGGAGATGCTCTGAATCCTGCTCAGAGATTTATCACGTTGGAAGAATGGTGTTGGTGGGCTTGTGTCGGTGGGCTTTAGGAGGGATGGGCTGTGGTGTTGAAAGGTAGCGTGTGTGCTCCCTCCCGCCAGCAGGCGTGTGCATGCGTGGGTGCATATGTCAGTGTGTGTGTGTGTGTGACCTTCCCGTGCGTGTTGATGTCAGCATCACCCCTGGCTGCTGCTGGTGCAGTCTCCTTCTCTTTGAGGTCAGTGCAGCAGCAGGCTGTCTGGCTTTCTGGTTCTGTGACTCAGTAGCGAAAAAAAAAAAAACCCAAAAAAACACGACCTTGTCCCTGAACACAGATCTGGTTGTTGATACATGCCTGTGTTTTTTTTTTTTTTTCTTTTTTATTAATTCATTTTAAAGACGCTATGCATAAGGGATCTGTTTCTCACTGTGTCCTCTCTTCGCCCTTTCCTCTCGCTCTAAGGGGAATAAAGGGGGTGTCAGTGCGAGGATGACAGTGTTTGGCCACCCGGTGTGCTTTCTCAACTGTCACCTGCCAGCTCACATGAGGAACCTGGAGCAGCGGATGGAGGACTTTGAGAGCATCCTGCAGCAGCAGCAGTTTGAAGGCGGGACTGCCACTGGTGTACTGGACCACGAGTGAGTGACATCATTATTACATCATTTGGACCACCCATAAAAAGGTGCACACCATCATTCAGCTTTATTAACAGATAAATGTCCCACATATTAGTTCATAAAAGTGCTCAGTTTCAGACATTCACCGATAATGAACAAATCTTAAGAGGTGATATAACATGATAAAGCTTAAAAGTCCCATTATGCATTGTGAATTTCGTGAGTAAATTAAAATGTCACAACAGTATATTTTGGGGTATTTCTTCCTGTCCACAGTGTTGTGTTTTGGTTTGGAGATTTAAATTTCCGTATTGAAGACTATGACATCCACGTGGTGAAATGTGCCATCGACAGCAACAAGCTGCCTCTTCTGTGGGAGCGGGATCAGGTGAGGCACCTTCGGCTTTTCAAAACATTCACGTGTTCACAGAGACATATGGAGTTTTCTGGAAGGCTTTACGCCACCTGTTTGTCTCGCAAAACCTCGACCAACAGAGGGCACTGTAGCACAAAATGAACAAACATCAGCTTCTGTCAGGCTGGATCAAAAATCATCCTGGCATGTGGCCTGCTCTGTTTTTTTCCCCCTGTCATCTGTTTTCTCTGCAGCTCAACATGGCCAAAAACACAGAGTCCATCCTGGAGGGCTTCATGGAGGGACAACTCAAATTTCCACCTACTTATAAGTTCGATGTGGGCACTCATACGTATGACACCAGGTTTGTTCAGTCGCCTCCATCACAAACTTATTGTTATAGATTTAATACACCGACAGAAGTCAGGCTTGAACCTGTGAAACTTGCTGCTCGCCGCTATCACCATCTGTCTCTTTTGGCTTCTCTTGTGTCAGCGCTAAGAAAAGGAAACCTGCCTGGACCGATCGCATCCTCTGGCGCCTTCGACGTACCGGCTCCCCAGTTCCTACCCACAATGCAGCACTGCAGCGGGGTCTGACCTCATGGTTGGGTGGGGCAACTAAAGTGACGCAGCACACATACAGAAGTCACATGGGCTACACCATCAGTGACCACAAGCCTGTTTCTGCCCTGTTTTCCCTTCATGTGAGACAATATTTTACACATTTTCCCAATCTTAGTGCCATGTCTTTGTTACATTTCTCTTTGTATAGTTTTATTACTTCTTTACGATTTATTGTTATATTAGTGTACCACATGCTCTTTTCTTCTAGTTCCCATTCAAGGTGGAAATGCCCCTGGTGGAGCTGCAGGTAAACAAGGAGTGGTGTAAAGTCTCAGATGCTACGGTCAGATTCACTGTTGTATCCACTTATCAGCGCAGCTCATGGGACTGGGTAGCAATATACAAGGTAATCACTGATTAATTATCGTCCTGATTCACACCCACAAGGATCTTTGTTATAGAATCTCTCGACAAGCTCAAGATAAATTCTTACAATTTGTCTCCTGGTGACAAAATGTACAGTTGTGGCCATAATTTCTTTCTGCACAGGTTGGATTCAGACACCACAAAGATTACCAGGCGTATGTGTGGGCCAAGGGAGAGCACGCAACACAGGTGTGTCAGACACCGAAATTCACGGATGTATTTTGTGCCACAGCTGAACTCACAGTTGAACCTTTTTTTTTTCTCCTCCTCTCTCTCCAGGTGACATTTTCAGATGAAGATTTGCCAAGAGACGACTGTGAATACATCCTGGGTTACTACAGCAATAATATGAACAGTATTGTTGGATTGTCAACACCCATTCAGGTAACAAAAGTGAGAGGAGAAAGAAGTTGCAGCCTTACGCCTTTATCTTTATGAATGGATACACTACTTGGCCAAAACTATGTGGACACCCAAACTTAAGTCCCACATCTGACTGTTGAACATCTCACTCTAAAACTAGGTATTCATATTATGTTTAAACAGCCTTGATTTTTCTGTAAAGGTTATACTCGAAATTATGGCACCTGGCTGCAGGGACACAGCAGTGAAGTCACTGATGTTGGGAGATAAGGTCAGCATTCCCTGCAGGCCAGTCGAATTCTTGCACCCCAAACTGGAAAAACCAGTTCTTTATGGACCTGGCTTCCTGCATGGGCACATTATATATTGAAATATAAAAGGAGCCTTCCCCAAACTGTCACACAGTTGGAAGCACACTGTTCAAATATCTAATTAATCAGTGGTTCATTTACTTAACTACAGCTCTCTCTTACTGCACAATTTTTGAGACATTGTACCCAGATCTGAAATGATTTTGTCAATTAATCGATTAGTTAATTGACAGAAAATGAATCGGCAAATATTTTGATAATTGTTTAATTGTTCTCAATCGTTTAAAAAGCAAAGATTCTCAGACTACAGCTTTTAAAATGTGAATATCATTTGTCTTCCATGAAAATAAACTGATATCTGAATCATAACTGAAGTTTTGGGCTTTGGGGAATTGTGAGTGGAAGGTTTTTATGATTTCCTCATATTTTATGGGCTAAACGATTAATCAAAAAAAATAATGGTCAAATTATTATTATTTTATGGTATAATATACTTCTACTCCACCACATTTCAGAGGGAAACATTGTACTTTTTATTTGTCCTGCATTTCTTTGAGATTATACATATGATCAGTTTACAAAATATCATGCCAATAACTCAATTACATAATATATAATAATACAACACTGACAGTGGACATTCTGCTGCACAGTGAGCACTTTTACTTTTGATATTTCAAGTACATTTTGCTGATAATAGGTCTGTACTTTTACTTTTACTTCAGTAATATTTTGAATGCTGGACTTTGGCTTGTAATGGAGTGTGCCCACGTACGATTGGTCATACAGTTTCCTTTTAGCACGCTTGCTCCTCCATCCTCAACAGATCAAGATCCCAGCCCACAGCCCCACCATGCAACGCTCTGACAGCTCTGATGTCAGCTCAGAAGATGACAGCACTCTTGTCCTGCTGGCTCCAAACTCCCGCAGCCCGAGCCCTAAAACTGGCAAACACCACCATCGCCACCGGCGCAGCCGCAGCCCTGCTGTTCCTGCTCTTTCCTCCAACCCCCTCCCCTCCCTACAGGGCCTCAGCCTCTGTCCTCGCTCAAAAGAAAGCCAGACACGAAGCCGCTCACCCTGCTCTGCTGCTAAGAAGGAACGGCTGGTCTCCCCTGACCCTGTGCCGTCCCCCTCCATCAGCCCGCTCAGTCCTCGCAGCCCTGTGTCTCCAGGTAGTGGGGTGACTGCACCGGAGGCTCTGATCGCTGCCATCTTAGGGGAACACAGACCAGCTCAGGTTAGCCCCACAGGGGTCAAACAGATAGGGAAGGCAGGGGAAACAGACACTGCATAGAATAAACATCAGTAGTTAACAGCAGGTACTGTACAAGGAGAACGATGGCAAAACCCATGCATTCAGACCCTGATCTGACCCCACACTGTCACTGTGCTCGTAGAAGCAGCACATTTAATGACTCCTAATGTAGTTTGCAAACATTCCACATTGTAGCCCTGCAGTTCTCTGTTTCTGAATCTACCATCATCTCATACACTATGTGTATATTTGAGTCAAAATGTGTTCAGACTCCTGATGACAAGTGCTTTTATAGACTCATAAGCTATATCATACGTAAACAAACATATTGAATGTGAAACCAAAGTTAGAGTAAACCTGTGATGGATGTGACCAGCTACTATTGACAGCAATATGGATCCATGTAAACAGTCTCCTATCAAAGTAAGGACACTGGACCAGAAGTATTGATGGTATCATAGTTCACAGTGGAGAGAGAATGTGTGTTTGTGTGTTTGTATGTTTGTGTGTGTGTGTGTGTGTGTGTGTGTGTGTGTGTGTGTGTGTGTGTACTTGTGGGTTTGTGCAGGCCTATGTGTTAAAACATACATGTGTGAAATGTGCATTTTGGACCAGAAGATGATTTAAATTTTTAACTCTATAGCTCGGTCTGTATTCATAAAATGAATCTAATGTATCCAAGAATAGAGGTAGAGCATTTCACCACCTCAGTCAATCTGAAATGTACATGTGACTTGAACAGTAATCCTAGATCCATGCTCTTATTCTTAGCAGCTTTGTGAATACAGCCCCTGTTCTATAGAGCTCAGTGAGCGGATGTTTAGACTAATGTGGTCGTTTTGCTTCAAGGAAAACACTGTTATTTATCTGTGTGAGTGTGCAAATAAAAAAAAAACAGAACAAGCGGAAAACTAAACTGAGTCAATACTGTTTATTGGCTAAACGAAAAGAAGTATCTATTTGTGCATACATCCTGTATGTGCCATGGTGTAGACTCAAGTCACATATAACGGCTTGAGTGGAGTGCCTGGAGTGACGACTCGGATGACTTTAGACTGGATGTGACAAAATGAAAAAAGACTTGTAGTTCCGCTTTCACACCAGTGGCTCGTGACTTCACTTAGACCTTTAACCTTTAGCCTTGAAATGACCCGGTATCCTCCCCTCTGGTCTAAAGATAAAGAATTTGGTTTTTAAAAAGAGTGTACCGAATCAACTTTAACTCAAGTCCCTGACAACAGATCTGACGTCTAACAGTTACATTTTTAAATGGGCTTGACTCAGGAATTCATAGCCAAAATTTGAGACTTATTTGTGACTTGAGATGAAACTCACTGCCTTTGTCTCACCTCTGCGTGTGTGTATAACCTTCATGTCGCACTGCAGGGGTTACAAGCGTTGTTTCAAAGGAAGGGAAAAGTCTGCAAGTTAGAACTTGATACAGGACGACAGAAGATGGAAAACAGCATGAGATCATTCACATACCGATGATGCATGGCACTGATAAAAAAGAATCCAGCAATTTTCAAAAAGATACAAGAGCACAAATGTCCGTCACATCCAGACAATTAGTTTAGCCAAAGGAGATCTTGAGGTTTCTATGGAGACATGGATAAGTGTGCACAGCTTATGGTTTGCCCTTATGTTTGTAATCAAGATAATCACTTTTGGATTAGCAAGAGGATCTAAAACCAAAGATAGTCTCACCAGGGAGGAGAGGTGAAACAAGCTACACGGTCAAAGAGGAGTCACCCCCTGAGTATTGAGTTTTATCGGATGGGCAGCCAAAAATAAGGGCATCTGATGCAAGCGGTAGGAGTACTGATGCATCATGTCCCTTATGTAGCAAAGCTTGGACTCACCATTTCAGACACTTTCATTTTTCGAACTCACATAAAGGCTGCAGAAAGTTAAGTGGTCAACTCTAAATTATCATTACAGATCCACTGTAACAACTGTAACAACAAGGTTTTTTTTCCCCCTTCTCCACACACTGAACAGAAAAAATACTTAATTCCTATGAAGTTTGGCAGTGAAGACAGAAGATTATATTCCTTGGTATGATTTTAAAATAAGATTTTCTTCAGGAAATACAGTGGCAAGAAAAAGTATGTGAACTCTCTGGACTCTCTGTTTTCTGCATTAGTCATAAAATGTCTGGTCTTCAATGTGCTTAAGCTAATGTTACACAATTTTATAATCTTTCGTGTCTTTATTGAACACACCCATTAAACATTCACAGTGCTGGTGGAAAAAAGAAAGGTAGCCCATGGATTTAGTAACTCGTCGAACCTGCTTCGGCACCCTCCAGTAACTGCTGATCAGACCTGTACAATGTTAAACTGCTTCAGCTTAGATATATTCTTAGGATGTCTGGAGTGAGCGGCTCTCTTCAGTTCACGCCACAGTGTCTCTACTGGACTAAGGTCTGGGTTCTGACTGGGCCTCTCCTACAGGTGGATTTGCTTTGTTTAAAGTTATTCTGTATTATTTACCCTGATGTTTAGGGTCTTTGTTCTGCTGCATCACCCAACTTCTACTCAGCTGGCAGATCACCCCCCCACCCCCCCGAAATTATCATGTAAGATACAGTCCCTTGATAAAATTAATTTTCCACTTGGTGATGTCGAGCTGTCCAGGCCCAGAGGTAGCAAAGCCCCACATCATGCTGCTCCCTCCACTGTTCTTCACCTTTGGGATGATGTTTTCATGTTGCACATGACACATTACACATTACATAGTGCTGCATGTTCTTCCCAAACAATTCAACCTTATTTTCATCTGTCCATAAAAAATTTTGCCAGTAGAGTTGTGGAGTGTCAAGTTGCTCTTTGGCAAACTTCAGGCACACAGTGACATTTTTACTGGAGAGCAGCGGCTTCCTTTTTGGTATTCATGGTAGGGTACCATGCCTCATGCAACCATGCACAATGATTTGCATAAGGTAGACTTGTGAACAAAGATGTTAACCAGCTTTGAGGTTTCCTTCAAGCCTTTGTGGTCCTTCATTAACGTTACTGATCATTCTGTGTTTTGCTTTTGGAGCCATCTTAGCTGGAAGCCCACATCTAGGGAGACAAGCCACAGATCTAAATCTTCTCCATTTATAGACAGTTTGTCTGATGTGGAATATTTAAACTCTTTGAGATGATCTTTCCGCTTTATGCAGATCAAGGCATGGCTCACATCTGCAGATATTTCTTGTGAATAGCAGATTTAAAATATTTTAGTGATTTTTTTTATGCAAAGTAACTCTAGCCCACAGGTATCCAGGTTTGATAACTCTTTTTTTTGTTGATGCCTTTAGCCGAGGGGTTCACATACTTTTTCACTTATTTCTTCTTGTCACTGTAGGTAAAATACTGGATAAAATCTCCTCCTCTGGCCTATAAAGAGCCTTAAAATAACAGAAAAATATGTAATTTGACTTCTTCTGGACTCTAAAAATCCCTGTCAGATAAAATACTGGATCCCTTCACCTATTCAAGTCTTATGGAAATTAATAAAATAAGTAAAATACTGAGCAATCTCACCAATTTAGGCCTGTAATAGTTCTCCAGGACTTTAAAAATACATCAAATAAATGAAATAGTCAAAGCAAATACACTTCATAGCAGCCGTTGAGGTTCTTCTCACCTCAGGGGCATTTTTTAGTTTGCCTTCACTAGAGCACGCCCCCTCGCACCACATGGTCTGTGCTCAACAACAACATTGGCTGCAGAGAAATGACTGGAAGGGTCTGAAGAAGTTCTCCAGGAGAATAAGTAGAGCTGCCCGACCCGCACTTATTTCATCCGGGAAGCAGGAGCTTAAAGCGGTGTGGTAGCTCTGTGTGTGATTGTGTGAGTGACAGCAGGATACCTGTGTAAAGACTGCAAAACTCTGTCCGCCTTCTGAACTGTAAGAGCAGGTCTCGCTGTCTGAGCGGCTAGCTGGTTAGCTAACAGTGTGTCTATAGACTAAAATGAACTCCCATCTGAACGGCTTCCACAACGACTCCTTCATTGATGAAGACTGCTTCCTCTTCACTTCTGAATCGGTCGGAGAAGGACACCCCGGTAAGTTTACCTGTCTCCGAGGTCGCTGACCACCATAATTAGCCTGATAGCATCATGTTAGCCTCTCAAACAAGGTCATGTGGCACGTTACCATTAGCTGTTACCGTGTTGTTGTCTGTCAGCTGTTCACTAAGTAGCCGGTTCATCCTCCCTGTATCTCTGTCAACACACTTTAAAACTGGCTCTACGTACAGTGTAAAAGTAGCCTACATGTAATTCACACAGTAAATGACAACAGTCCTGTCATAGGATGGGAAAAATACAGGCTTTGGAGTTAATTTGGAAAGTCGCGGCTGCATGCTAACAACACGGCAGCTAGCTGTTAAAGCTAACCTCATGTTAGTGAGTAACTGTTGGTGCCTGTCATGTGGCGCCACAAGGTTTTCTTATATGATTTCAAAACGTGTCTACGCTTAACAGGAGCGGTGTCTGTAGCTTGCAATAATTATAAGTTAAGGTGTGTATTTTGTTGTTACTGCTAAGTCAGGCAAGACAGTTATTGCATCAGGACAGTGGCTCCAGTAGCACTGGACTAGATATGACATGTATACAGAAGCAGCAGGTTTGTTACTGTCGAAGCAGTAATCTCATACAAAGATTACAAAGAGATTACTTTAATATTAGATTTATTAAACTGTGCGGTGGTTACTCTCCAAATTTGAAAATTATCCTTTGAGTTTTACATTAAAGTCTTAAACCCTGTTTATAAATGAATGAATATGAATCTTTGTTTGGTAATGAACAATAGAAAAATCTGTTTCTTTCCCATCTTAAATCCAGAGTTATAGAATAGCTAACAAATTTTGAGCTTCAAAATTGCACCTTGACATAGAAAGTTCCAGACATTTGTAATAAACACTCAGTTGGCATTTTATTAGGTACAGCTCACTCAAAACACCTCAAAACTAATACAGTCCAATAGGACAGCCCTGCTATAAATCCTACCTTCACAAAGATTACAATATTCCGTCTATGTTGCAGCTGTTTGCTTCAGCTTTATTTTGGAAGCTGGAGTTTGCATCAGCAAGGGTAGATTATCCAAAGTCTCCAAAGTGACCATGAACAGATTAAACAAAAACTGAACATTATAACCCTCATTAAGGTTGGATTTATTGCAGGGCTGTTGTATTAGACTGTTAGTGTTAGCTAGTTGTCCATCTGTTCCATACAACATTTTAATTGCAGATCTATTCAGCAGCTAGTCATACAATACAGCACAGTTTTCAGTCTTACACTGGGGCAGTGGGGGCAGCTCTATTGAAACGGATAATAGGCTTACCAGTACTCCTAAATATAGGTACTGCAGGGGCTGCCGCTCAACTGTGGGTGTAAAGTAGTCAAATCCACACACTTTATAGTTGGAGGACAGTAGAAGTACCCACAGAGATCTCCAATAATGATATGCTTCAAGGAGTTCCTTTACACTTGGCATTTACAGTGGGTGAAGAAAATATTTGGAACACATCCGAACAGCTTCAGCCATCCTTGGAATGCTGTCACTCCTGTCTTGAGTTGTGTTTTGGAATAATTGCAGAATATTTCAGGGTGGAAGACCCTGCATGACTTGAGGAATGAAGGAGGTAGAAACAACAGTGAGATCACAGTGAGCCCTTAAACTTGGAGAAGATGTTAGAAGTTATCGCAAATATTCATCACTGCATACACATCAGTAGTCATCAGAGGTATAGACCAAAGCACAGGGACAAGAGAGAGCCTGTCTTGGTTGTGTGCTTCATGTTCATGCAAACTGCAACAGGGGCCAGAAAATAAATGTGTTTTAAAAGATTGTCCAGTAGTAGATAGACCATATTCTGTCAGGATCACCAGTGACTATGTTGTAAATGATAAATTCTTGAAGTGATTCATTATTAATATTATTATTTTGGAAAGTTTTTCCTGATGTTTCCTGTCCTGTTTCCTGTTTTTTTTTTTTACCTTTTTTTTACCTTTTTTTCTTGTACTTTGAATGGATTTAGATTATGTTAAACCAGTTCTGATAAATAGCTGCATTAGGAAACAGGTGCAAGTGCACAAAACCGTGATTTTAGCACTAAAACTTTGTGTTTAAAAACACTGCATTGATTAGTTATCATGAGCATGTTCTATATATATATATACATATATAAATAAATATGCCATTGTTGCTTGAGTGGAATAACATAAATGTGTTTCTGTATATAGGCAAGTTGTATTTCAATGAACTTAACACCTCAGTAACCAAGAATGTGAACTAATTTTAAATGTTTATATATATATATATATATATATTAGTGGTGGGAACTTGTAAGTGTAACTACATGTAACAAGTCTTCTACTGTGTGTGTGTGTGCATATTTATCTTTAAGCAGAACATAGGTGAAAGGTTTGTGTGTTAACAGGTTAAAAATTGTCACGTGTTACTCCACAGATAAAATCTGTGACCAGATCAGTGATGCTGTGTTGGATGCACACCTCAGACAAGACCCTGATGCCAAAGTAGCATGTGGTAAGTCTTTACACAGCAAAGCAAGATGACCACAGAGGCTATTGTTCACTGAGTATTTGTTGTCGAAATGTGGACGTGCGAGATGAGGCGTTTAGCAAAGCAGGTCCCCTCATTTACACACGTTGCTTCTTTTGTTTCCTCTGTTGAGAAATATTTTCTACTGCATCACGTTAATTCTCTGAAACACACAGTGAAGGAGCTCTTGGAACTAAACTCAGGAGCAAAACAAGGAGCTAAAATTCCCCATTGCACGTTTTTATAATATTCTCTGTTTCCATGAAATGACCATATGGTGCGTATACGAATACACAAGAGATGCAGGTGATCAAGGCTTGACATTGCAATCTTCCAAGGACGGGATGTTTGAATTCAGAATTGGCTACATTTGGTCTTTGTTTGTTGGCTTTACCTAAGACTCAGGATATTTACCAAGTGCCAGGGCATGAAGTTGAGCAACTAAGTGAGAGGGGGTATTGGCAGGCAAACGTTCCGGTTGGCTGTGAGAACCAGTCTAACCAGTGATAGCTGTTGATCCATCCCACTTTAACACTAAGATTTCAAAGCCTTTAAAGTTTTTATGCTGTGTTGGACATCATGCAACCACTCACAACTCACAACCTGTGCTTTTAGAGGTTGATTATTTGTTATTATCATTATGTTTTACTGCTTGAATGTTGATGAGGTAAAAAAAATATTGTATAACACACTTTGGAAATTTGAATCTGCTGGATAAAAGGCCATCTGCCAGAGATTCATTGGGCATATCATCCAAAAGTGGGGGGGCTAGACCAACGGTTTACATCCTGCATCAAGGCTTAAAGTTTTATATGGTAGATTTAGATGTTGATGAAAACTGCAACAATTCGTAGAGGCTAAATATTTGAAAGTTCTAGCCTCTCAAAAGTGAGAATTTGCTCTCTTCTTGGTGTGAGATTATAGTAAAATGAATATTGTGGGGGTTTTGACTGTGGTCCCACAAAACAAGACATAGGATATGTTGCCTTTGCTGTTGTGCACTGTGTTGTGGTGGATATTTTTCACTGTTTTCTGATGTTTTATAGACCAAACAAAAAATCTATTAATATATAAAATAACTGTCACATTAATTAACAGGGAAATAATCATTAGGTGCAGCCCTTGCACATTTGTTTTTAAGTTTAATATTATATATGGTCAGCATGTCTTCAAATGTAAAATTATCTAAAAACACAACAACACAAATTTAAACCTGCTTCAGTATGCCAGCCAACGTGCTCTGTTTCCCTTCACCTCCTTGTTCCTTCCACCTTCCTTGTTAGTCTCACTCTCATCCCTCACACTGCATGTCCCTGTGTCCACAGAGACTGTTGCTAAGACGGGGATGATCCTGCTGGCCGGGGAGATCACCTCCAGGGCCAACGTTGACTACCAGAAGATCGTCAGAGACGCAATCAAGCACATCGGCTATGACGACTCCTCCAAAGGTGTGGTGATGAAAGTTTGTTGTCGTGTGTTTAGTTAGGGTTGAGATTCATGCAGTTAAAGCCTCTTTCTTGCGCATCAATGAACTGTTAAGAAAAAGGTTTGTCTGTTGGGTGTGAGTAATGACCTAAAACCAAGTAGGCTACCTGTTCAAGAGGCACCGAAAGCTATGCACCTCTCGTAGGGGATGTCCTGTCCCTCAGGCTGAACATGAAGGGTTCCTGGAAAGATGCAGATATACAGAGTCTTACGTGTCAGCTTTAATGAAGCCACCTTGACTGAATGGAAAATCACCTTACATTACACTATTGTGAATGAGACAAATCCAGACAGACCTGTTCCATACTGTTTGTTCACACATGATGAATCATATTTAGTTGTAAATCATACTGTATTTGAGGATCAGTGGTGAAGATTGACATGTGAAGTAGTTCACTGAGGCTCACTTGTCTTGTTCTACAGGCTTTGACTACAAGACCTGCAATGTGTTGGTGGCTTTGGAGCAACAGTCCCCTGACATTGCTCAGGGTGTTCATCTGGATCGGAAAGAGGAGGATGTAGGAGCCGGCGACCAGGTCGGAGGGTTCTTACATTTATGTTTGTGTTTGGGCCACAGCTGGGTAACTGGAAGTAGAAAATGTGGTGGTGATGGAGTTTGTCATATTATTTTTCCCCTCTATTCATGCTATGATTTGCGACTGCACCTCTGACAGGGCCTGATGTTTGGATATGCAACTGATGAGACTGAGGAGTGTATGCCCCTCACTATTGTCCTGGCCCACAAGCTCAATGCCAAGATGGCCGAATTACGCCGAAATGGAACACTGCCGTGGCTCCGACCCGATTCCAAAACTCAGGTTAGACAAGGGAACTGTGCCTTTACTTCCACATAATCCATCTGCATTGCCTAGAAAGTAAAGTGCTGAAAACACTGCATTGCAGGGTTTTTTTTAAAGCTTCCATAATACTTGGTTTAAATGTTTCTTTACAAATATATATTTGAAAGGTGCTCAGAGAAATTTTCTACTGCTATTAATAAGAGCTGCTATTTCAATCATTGATTGATGTGTTGACATTTTCTAAGATAATTGCATACATTATAAAATGTTGGGAAATTTAAAAAGAAATCCAGTAGCAAGTTGTCAGAGCCCAAGGTGATGTCTTCAGTCGGCTTGTTTAATTCAACTCCAAAAACCGAAGTTGTTCAATTTACAATGATATGAAATAGAAAAGCAGCTAATCCTACATCTGAGACGCTAAAACCAGTGAATGTTTGGCATTTTTTGGCTGATAAATGAAATTGTTGTCAGTTCATTTTCAGTCAGTCAGTCAACGATTAATTGACTAATTGTTTCAGTATACGTAATGCGCAGCAGTTTTTCCCATCTTTCCTGTCTCAGAGCATATTGCCAGTACTAACACACTCTCTGAATCCAAGAGTAATTTCAGTTAACATTAGGAAGATAATGACGTCCACATCAAATGTGATTCTAGGGTTAGGGGGTATATCAAAGTCACTGTTAGGAGAATGTACATGTTATTTATTTACATTGCGTAAGGGAAGGCTGTGTGTCTATGAGCTCTTCTCACATGCCATGGAAGTAAAACAAATCTAGGACAGACGGTAAACTCTTCCATCCTGTTCACTTTTAGAATATTTATTCATTGTTTGTTTTTTTTCCCCCCTTCAGGTGACCGTTCAGTACCGTCAAGACCGGGGCGCCATGGTGCCCTTGCGTGTCCACACCGTTGTGGTGTCTGTGCAGCATGATGAGGGTGTATGTTTGGATGAGATGCGTCACTGTCTGAAGGAGCATGTGGTGAAAGCCGTGGTTCCCAGTGGCTATCTCGATGATGACACCGTATACCACCTGCAGCCCAGTGGCCGCTTTGTCATTGGAGGACCGCAGGTGAGACAAGAGCTTCTTTAAACTCTGTGCCTCTTTAGTTCCTCGTCACACTAAAGACAATTAAAATGTTAATTTGTTAACAGATCCATGCAATTGATTTGAATTGAAGTTTCAGTGAAAACATGTTATTATAGGCCCAAATCTTTTTAATTTAATTATGATATATTTACAGAAAAAAAAGTAAAAAGTAGCTGTTTTAAAATGCTTCTGTCAAATGTATTTGTGTCAAATGTTCATAAACTCAAAGTCCTGTAGGTAACGAGACTGGTCTTTCCCAAAGGGTGATGCCGGTCTGACTGGGCGTAAGATCATTGTAGATACTTACGGGGGTTGGGGGGCTCACGGAGGTGGAGCCTTTTCCGGGAAGGACTACACAAAGGTAGATCGCTCTGCTGCCTATGCTGCCCGCTGGGTGGCCAAATCTCTGGTAAAAGCTGGGCTCTGCAAGCGTGTGTTGGTCCAGGTGAGTGTGCAGTATAACAGACCGTTGAGGGGATACTACAGTATGTATTAGTAAGGCCTGAAGGTGGGACTGTTTTTAGCAAACAAATGAGCTTTAATTGTGTTTGCTTTATGTGTCCTCTGTTCACCGAGTGTCACTACAGTCAGACTGATGCTGGATTTTGGAGTTTGATATTGATATTTCACAGTTTAATAGTTAAATAATCCTAAAACAATACAAACAGGTTCTCAGTGCTCTGAGGTGGACAAACTATGACACAGTGTCTAAATGACCTCAAGCATATCTTTGGCATAACCTTTCTGTACTGACATATTCGTGATAAGCTACTATGTCTATATATTGACCAGGCCGACTTATCCATCTAGCTCTAGTTGCCATCGTAGTAAAGGAAAAGCTTAGAAACAACATTTTTCACATTTCTTTTTCCACAGAGTTCATGTTAGTACTTGTTTTATAAGAGATCCAGGTACAAATTCAAAAACTTTACCTTTCCCCAAATATTTTCAAAACTGAATACTGAAATACTGAAAAAGATAGGTAGAATATGCTGAATGCTTTCTAGTTTTTAAAATGTCTCTCCTGTCTTAGCTAAAGTTCTGAACATAATTGTTGATAACTGTTTTAGGTATCCTATGCTATTGGAGTCGCCCATCCCCTCTCGATCTCCATCTTCCACTATGGGACATCCCAGAAGAGCGAGAAGGAGCTGCTGGACATCGTGAAGAAGAACTTTGACCTCCGTCCAGGAGTTATCGTGAGGTATGGTCCGGTCTCCAATTTCAGAGTTTTGCTAACAAACAATTAAAATCCCCATTATACACATTTTATACATATTTCAGGTTTTTATAAATCATCATTTAATTTCTGTCTCAGGGATCTTGACCTGAAGAAACCCATCTACCAGCGCACAGCAGCTTACGGTCACTTTGGTCGTGACGTTTTTTCATGGGAGGTGCCCAAGAAGATGAAGTACTGAACCTCCTCCTCTAATCTCCCAGCGGGCCTTAGGTGTATTACAGATAAACCTATGTGTTTGTCTAACTCCCTCCTTCCTCCTCCTCTTTCTCCTCCTCCCTCTCCTTCCTTCTCGCACAAACAGCCACATCACCACAGCCTCTACTACATGAAAAGATACCCTTTCCCCACCTATTGGTGTTGTACACATCCTTCAACAGAATACAATAGTATTTCAGTTGCCAAGATATTCACCTGAACAGACATGAAAAGAGTGTGCGTATAGATTTGAGCAGTGCTGCCAGCTTTTATTCATCTTAGTTGTGGTGGCTCACCTCATTATTATTATTATTTTTTTTATTTTTTTTTTTAGTTTCCTGACACTGATAGGTATTATTGACAGTTTATCTGGACCATGCAAATATTTACCAGTCATGAAAACATTTCTGGTATTCCTCAGCTTTTAAAATCAAAATCTCACTGCAGTTTAGTTGTAGGAGTGATCAGTGATTGCCATCCTCTCTAATGGCAACACGTCATTTTCCATTTCACCTAACATTGTTGGGTTAATAGCCATTTTGTGTTGCATCACCTCATTTCCCCCTCACGGCACACACCCTCCCTGCTTTTGCAATTTTTATGGCACAAATGGGGTCAAACACTTTCTATAAAACCTGCTAATTTTTGTATTTGTGCTGTCCCTTCAGGCCATGTTTTTCTGACGTTTTACAGAGAAGTCAGAAGCTGCTAATGACCCTGTGGTTATGTTGGGCTGCACCATGAAATCACTCCATTTTTGTAATTTATTTTGTTGGTTTTAAATGTCATGTGAATGTTTCAGATGATGTTGAATGTGTCAATGTTCTACTGACCAAGATAAAGACGTGATACAGTACTCACCCTGCCTGAGACTGACTCTGGGAGTAGCTACAGAGAAACCCAGGCTCAGTAGCATCTGGACAGGGTCTGCCGTTATCCAATGGCAACACTGTACTTGAAAGATTTATATAGTGGCATTTGACTATTGTGGGACCTAATAGTTTGACTTGCAAGGAAGGACAACTGAAAAATCTAAGACACAAGTTACATTATCTAAACTGTTTTCGACTCAGTTGCACACGTTTCGGGCCCTGACATCTTTAGTCACTCCTGCCTACAGTATAAAAAGTGCACTGGTATGGATAAAGAACAGTGCCACAGCCAGACCAAGACAAAGAGATAAGAGGCAGCGCACAATCAGCTTAGTGAATGTAAGACATTACTGCTCTCGTCTTCTCAGCAGAGTTAAGTTTCGTACAAATGAGAACATGGGATCAGATATGTAACTTTATGCTTGTGGATTTTGAATCTTCCACTGGAACTGCACAGCACATTATTTCTTGAAGTTACCCAAAAATGCAAAGGCTTCTGTTTTCAATGTTACACGCACAGTAGTTCAAATCCAAATGAATGTCGAGCTTGCAGCTAAAACTTTTCTTTTTATTTATTTATTTATTTGTTTTTTAAAAAACCGTATTCATTCTCTGCACCATCACACTGTGTGTCATGGATGGCACAAGTCACAAGTTTTCCTATCTTCCTTTTTACTTTGTAAGAAATGTAGATAAGGTGAGAGAGGAAATGTTCCAGAGACCTTGGCCAGGTTTGAACCCAAGTTGTTGTGAATACACAGTATATGCCTTTTTGAATGCTTCCTAAGTCACCCTGTTCCTTGACTTTACTCCTGGATGTGTATCCACACAATATAGATGCATAGTTGATGCTAAGCCAGCTGTAAGCCTGAGTGAAATTAGTAATCACTGTTAGAATCACCACAGTAGGTCCCTGGTCTGAGCTGTGTGCACAGTTATTGTCTAAAAATGTCTTCATCGTGTAGCTAGATGGCACTGTGTCCCCATAAACAATACTCAATTGAAGATTTTTTTTCTACTGTAATAACACTGATATGTCGTCTTTAGTTTGACTCCTCTGGCATCACCTTGTGGTTCCTTGAGTGTATTACAGAGAAACCTCATACAGGAGCCACAGAGTGGTGCTGTGAAAGCAGTTTAAATTGATCTATCTGTGATCATCTGGTGAAATGACTTAACCTCTCAAAGATTTTTTTTTTTTTTTTTAATAATATGTTTGCGTCTTCTAGCTCATCCACAGACAAGGCAAATGATTGGTTGGTGTTGTACAGAGAAACCAGCCTGTTTACATGGTCTCCTGTGGGTGGAAGAGTTTGAGGATATTTTTTCTTTCTCTGTAAAATAATTTTTTTAAAAGATTGGAAGTGAGTCTGTCAGTGTGGTCGCTGAATGTGTGTTAAAGTGCCTTTTCTAATTTTCAGCAATGCCCCTTTCCCATGCCCCCAAATATCTGACTCCTTGCCTATTGACCCTGCCCCCACCCAGTTTTTACCCCGAGGCTGCGAAGTTGCCCTCTTCAATAATTCACACTGAGGAGTCTGACTTGTTGTTGAGTTTCTCTTTTAAACCCTTCAAATAAACTGCACGCTTGCTTGTGCTTAAAGGATGTGCTTTTGGCTATTTATTTTCTATCATACAGCAGGTTTATGTTAAGGTAATGCTGTAGATTATGTCCAACCTTAGTTTATATGGTATGAGCCTAAATAATTAGTTTAAATGATCATTTGCATGTGGAGGTTGTTGCAACAACCAGTGACAAAATGCTGTGGATGGAAAATTAAAATAGTGAAAAGCAGATGTAGGTGCCAGTATTTAAAAAGAATAGAAGTTCATTGACGCAAAATAACGAGATTATTTTCTATTGTGGCTCTTTCTACCCTCAGTAATTGACCGTCGCATAAAAACACATTCCCCTCACTTCACTTTGAAATCTGAAATGCTAAAGTTCAAGATCAGGAAGCATTACCACTGAAGTTGGATCGCGGCTTGGGATTTAGATCTGAGTGCTGATGAAAAATAATATTGTAATACCAGTCTATGAAAAACTTGCATAAATAAATTAGTGAAGTGCTTCTTTAATGGCAAAAGAGTAGGTAAGTCAGTTCTAGTGATGTTTCACAGCCCAAAATATACAGTTCACACCTCAAAATTTATTCAGGTCATTCTCCTGAAATCATCTGTATTTGAAAGGTTACAGAAAGACACTTCATTAAAGCTGATGAAGCCATGACATGTTATCTATAGAAAAGAGGTTAGTACAAACATGTCAAGAAAAATCTTAATTAAAAATAGAAAAGAATCAGTGTACAGTATAATTATGAAAGTTTAAGCTTTTGACCTTCTGATCCCTTCAGATAATCCTTTCCTCCGTAATAGGTTTTCAGCCTAACTTCCTGTTTTCTTCTCTCAATGCAGAGAGTATACAAAGCAAAATCACAAAATGCAGTAAGATATCAAATGCAGCAATCACATCTGAAAAAAAATATAGACAGACTGCCTCAGCTGTGGTGCAGGTAGATAAATATTTGCAGTTTGATGTTGAAAGAGCTGAGTCATCCATGGGGGCACCGGTGTCGACTCATTTTTTCATCCCACCCTGAAAAGAGCAGTTACCGGATATTATTTTACCGTATATTTTCTTATTTAATATGTCACAAAACTCTCATGAAGTCCCACCTACCTCAAGATGTTAGATCGTGTTGTAGTCGAGAGGCTTCCAGGCGAATCTCTGACAGTAGAACACAGTCTGTTTGGAGCAGAGCGGTCGCAGGTAAAAATTTGATCAGAATTAATTCATCTAATCAGCTTCACAACCTGATGTTTACTTACTCCACATCTGAGGGCAGTCTTCATGTCTCTGCACCTGTACGTTATCAAAGTGCACGGATCTGGGTGAAAAAAGAGAGACATTTGATTTTTTAATAGAAGATGAAGAAGAGAATTGATTTTGATTGTTGATTAATAATCCTTTTTTTTTGGATAAACATTTGCTGGTTCTAGCCTCTAGAAAATGTGACCAAATATGTTAATTTTTGTATCATTTAATTGAAAAGTGTCACAGTGGCTATTTTAATTCGTCCAGTGTAACTACAAAATTAAGTGCATGCTACTTGACTTGGTTTAATATGGGGATACATAAATGTAACAGGGCCATCATTATTATAATTCTTCATTATTATATCAACATTATTATTAGCTAAACTTTTACTTTCCCTGCTACAGCAAGTTCAAATCTGCTGTATAAGTAGTCTATATACCTTTGGGTTTCAGAGTGAAGCACAGACAAAAGTAAGATTTTTTTTTTTTTTTTTTTTTTGACATTTTACAGCCTGAGCATTTAATGCAAGTTAATTACAAAAATCCATAATGAAAAAAAGCCTTAGCCTCAGCCTTGGCTGCAGCCCTGCACACATCACTGAAGTGGACTGACCTACAACAGTGGTCTCCTGCCCTTTACACAGGTGGATGAGAGCGCAGATGGTCTGGGGCGTGGCGTAGCTCAGGATCGCTTCCAGCACCGACTTGCTGAACTTGTCGATGACGGCCTCGCACTGGGCGCGGTAGGAGGAGGGCAAAATATGACAAATCTCCTCCAGCAGCTTGATCACAGCAGCCTGTGCAATAGACAGTAAAATCAGCGTGAATCTGGGTGTCCACAGTGTCAGCAGCACTGTGTGGTGGCGCGGCACCGAACTGTGAGTGCAGAACAGATCATTCTCCTGACATCATCTGTGTGTGAAGGATTATTAAAACACACCTCACTACAGCTGGTGAAGCCATGAAACTTTATATGTAGAATAGAGGTTGATTATTTCTGAAAAAATCTAAAGCAAAATCTTCGTTAACAATAGAAAAGTTTAACCTTTTGATCCTGTTAAGATGTCATATCTTTGCAACATTCCTTACAACTGAAGTTCAGATAATCCTTTTGTCCCTAAGAGTTTATCAGCCTAATTCCTGGTTTTTCTTCTCTCAATGCAGACCGGATATACAGTACAATGTAAAACCATAAAATGCAGTCAGATACCAAATCAGTATCTGAAAGAAGTACTATCAGGTGTGGAGCAGGTAGAGAAATATTTGCAGTTTGATGTTGAAAGATCTGGGTCATCCCCGGGGGCACCGAAGCTGACTCGTATTTTAAGTCCCACCCTGAAAGGAGCAGTTTGGGGATATTTTTATGGAGGAGGGCAAAATTTTAGAAATCCCCTGCAGCTTGACTGCGGCACCACTGTGAAGAGGAGGATGTAGAGTAACAGTAACATGATAACACGAGCAGGCTTCTCTGGGTCTGCACTGTCAGCGTTGTTGTCTGGTGGCATTCGAATGTCTGTGTGCAGGACAAAAAGATACTGTGTTTGTTCATGTGCACATTTGTTCCCTCACTGTGTCGTGTGTGTGACTCACCTCCGACCTCTCTTTAGGCAGCAGGTCCTCCAGAGTCTTGACAAGGAAAATACAGAAGGAGCATTGTGTTGTGGGCATCACCTGATAGACAGACACAAACAGCAGAGGGAGTCAAGCACAAGAAAAAAGATTTCCACAAAATATTATTATTCTTTTCGAATGTGTCCCTGTGTGTTGTACTGAACTGACATTTTCACTTGCCACAGCGGCCTGGAGGGCCTCCTTCACAAAATAGCTGAGCATCTTGTCCTGTTCGTCACTGGAGCCACAGAGCCCGATGATTTTGCAGACCTCCGCCGGTTTCTACAGAGAAAGAGGTGTGTTGAGAATAGACCTCACAGAGACACAAGCAGTCACACCGTTGTTATTTTAGTGCTGATATTATTCTGGCAAACTGACACTTACTGCCACAGCAGTAATGAAGTTGATGGCCAGAGGAAGCATCTTCTCCACCTCTTCTTTGCAGAGTTTGGCAGTCGGCCCAGGCAGGTGGTTACACACGCTTTCAATGCCATCGATGATCTTTTTCTAGAGTGAAGGGGGGGCAATTGTTTTTAATTTTAGGAGAGGTGCAGCATTGTCCCTTCTGCCAACCCTTAATTAAGGGTCAGAAAGCTGAAGCAATGTTTCATAAAGAGATTTTTTTTCCATAATTAATTGCTCTTTTTCTTTGGAGCTTTAAAGGCACGGAAAATATAGAGGCTGAAAAACAAAACAAAAAATACAATAGTGGGCAGATGATGTCATCTGGTATCTCCATGTCATCTGTGAGTAACAGGTGCAATGAAAGTCAGATGACTTATGGTCACTGGAAGAAATTAAAACAACCAGATATAAATACATATTAATGAATAATAATAGTAGAATTTTATTGTATTTAATTTATTATTAAATTTAATGTCACTTTCAATGACAGTAAAGCTATCATGAGTTCAAGCCCCCACGTCTTTAAGCCAATCACAGACCTTTTACCAACGGGCTCATTAACTGACAGTTAGCCTAGCCAGCTCCCGAGAAACCAGAGAGAAAAACTCATTTTATGGTTTCCACAGTCATGTCTCACCCTAAAGAAAAATCATCAGATTCACAAATCTGACGAGGTAACTGAATTTAGCTTTTTATTTTTTATTTACTAGGTAGAAGATTTTTGGTTGTTGCATCTTTAAACCATGGAGCACTATGTGTGTCTAATTGATAAATTTGGCAAATCAAATACTTACATGGTATCATCACAGAACTGAGGGAGTTTTTACTTTTTCGTTCACAGCTAACAATCCCAACCCAGTGTGTTCACTAAAATATAGGCTTAGATAAGTGGTAAATTGTATTTCTTCTTTTTCTTCTTCTTTTCTTTATGTTGTGGGATATATAGATTAACCAATTTATGTTTTGTCTCTTTGAACTCAGATCAGACTCCCCAGCTCTCCCCTGGCCAGATCCCGCTCAGAGAAAAGAGGATCTTTGAGGTAAAGTTAAGAAACAGAAACTCTCTGTGAAATGTCATTTCAATTTTCCTCAGGCATAGAAAATAGGAAGTGGCTTTGCATCCAAAAACAAAAAGGGCCCTTTCCTTTATTGTGTGTCTGCATTTCACTGATGACTGATTGCAAATTATTTGCATCTCTGAGTGTGAAGAATGTGCTTTAGCAGATAAAAGAACAGGTGGACAATGATTTGAGGAATTTCAATTTTTTTTTTGTTAATGAAAACTATTCAACCAGAGATTTTAGCAAACACTTGAGATAGCAGAGTGTGCATTTTAATCTTGACTTATGAATATGGACATACTTATATTATCAGTGAGCAAATATTGATCCTCTGGTATGTGTTTGCTGTTTAGTCAACTATTGCACTCACCTGGAGGTCTGCATTGGAAAGCAGGTCAGCAAGGAGTTCAAATATTTTGGTGCAATCCTGGCAGACGTCCCCATTCTGAGTACAAAACAAGTCACATAATGAAAATAAATTAATACCTTAAACTGATTTACTCACTTACAAATGCCAGTTGCCAAATTCTAAGCTGCACGTGTTATAGATACAGCTGATCAATTAATTTGTGGCTGTATTAGTTCCACCAGAAACTGGAATATTAGAAAAACATAAAAGTTTTGTTGTTTGAATCTTCCGGATTGAAAGTTTACCAAGACACTTCCTGACTTTGAGGAAATGAAAATCTCGGTTCTCTCTGAAAGA